TTATGAAGGGTAACGTGGAGTGCAGAAGATTCTTATCAAACTTGAAAACTTGCACATTTCTAAGGATGATGACGTAAAATTAAGTAAAGTACCGTAAGGCTAAGTACCAGTTAAGTTCTCCGTTAAATGATCAACAGCGGCTTCAAACTCTGAACTTAAAAATCCTATACACTGAACGCTTTCGATAACATCTTGAATGCATGCTTATAAGTTGGCCTGACCTATTAAGACTCTTATACCCATGAAACTGCAGAAACTTGCCCCTAACTCATCTCATTCGTCACTATAAACAAAACAAATTACATGGTTTACAACGACTTAAGGCTTAAAACCAGCTCGTTCACGATAACGACCTTTAGCACCGAGAGTTCCGTCTATGTTCAAGCCATTTGTGTGATTACGCTTTTCTGAACTCTTTCAGAACATTTTATCGGATGTCCAAACCCTAATAAATACTCATTTATTTATCAAGGTTTGGCCATTCTCAGATGCAACGTGAGCTCTCGACCTCCCATTTTTCTTATGGCAGATAATTAGTGATAACTCAGCTTTCTTCCCCAAACAACCAAGTGGTAGCCGTTTTTTAGTTAAACCCATTTTCATTGTGAATGTCGATGGAGTGGAAGGTGATCCCAGAACATATCAAACATCTGAGCCATTCGTATAAGCCAAAAACATACTATACGTGGTTATAAAGCCAGAACGGAAATCACATTATCTATCATTTCGACCATGCCGTCTATCTTCAAAGGCTGGAAGCTGAACATACTTAAGATTCATCCCTGTCTAACACGATATCAAACTTGAGACCAGTTTAAACTAAACGTTGGTTCAGAATCAATGGGGTAATATCATAAATCACAGCAGTTTAACTCGCTAAGGAAGTTTTTAATGTAGACCACCATTAAACTGACCTGCACCGGCAAGGCGATCGGCTGAAACGAAAACCGAATGGAGACATCGACAAGCTATGTAAGCAACGATGTAACAAAAGCCGAACCTGACCACTTCTGCTCTGCTAAGTTTTATTTTGCCGAGAAGCTCATCAAATACGTACTACTGAGGCTATACCATGTGTAAATACAAAGATTTGGATGATTTTCATTTCATATTGTCCCCCTCAAAGATAGATTTGGGTAATGTGTTCCCTCCCTTATAATCGATATGTTGAAGGCGTTTTTAGGATGTAAAATGCATCTTGCTACCTTTCAGTCGATATTTTAAAGGAGTTTTTTTTTCATGGCTTAGTCTGTTCAACTAGCGTAAGGTGTACTTTTTTATCGGAGATGGTTTAAGGACAGAGTCCTTCGCGGGTGAAAGTGGTTTTCAACTGGAATCAGTAGCACTCGTCATTCATAGAGTGCAATAATTGTAATAAGAGGTACCGAAAAACTTGAGCTACATCTCATCTCTTAAAAAAAGGTGGTCAAGCATAGAGAAAGTATGAAAGTGAAAGCACATGCCTGTACGAAAGGGTATCATTGACACAAGGAGTGGCCGAACTTCGGAATAATCAAGGACAAAAGGAAAAAATTGTTGTCCCAAAGTACCGGGTGGCCGAGAAAGAATCATATCTTCTTTATAGAAATTTGTACTTGTGTACTTGTAAGTTACTTTGTCGGAGTCTCGTGGCAAGCATGTGAGGACAGTACAAGCTAAGTTCAGTTGCTGACAATTGTAAAAAGCTTTTTTTCAACGGTGTGGCAGTAGTCTTTATGTAAATGATGTTACTCCAAAAAAGAGGTGTCCTTCACCCTTATGAGTCAGACCTTAAGGTCGTTTAAACCAGCGCTGGCTTAGCAAGCAGCACGCTTGACGATAACCTGAACCTATTCGGAGAATCCGGGGTGAAGCGGTGCCAAGAAAAGCCGGAACAAGTAGAATCCCTGAGTCAAGTCCTGACTCGGTACGGACTCAGGCTAATTAAGCCGTCTTCCCCTGCGAGGTCAGTTAATTGGTACTGGACTGGTCCGAGAAGTTTCCCAGACATGCTTCCACAGAACACTCCATAGACAAGGTCAGCCTTTCACACGCCGCGACGGTTTTGAATGGGTGTTGAATGCATGTGCGCATCCTAGAACGGGTTGTTTAGAGACAAAAAAACAGAATGTTCATTTCTTTATCCACTCAACGAGAGCAACGGTTCAGGAAAAGGGCGCCAGCTAAAAAGCCTGCACTCATTGTTCAAGCAACGCCGATAAATTTAGGTAAGCGAACGATTACAAAACGGTCAGCATTTATGAAGTGAGACAGAAAAATTGCTTCCCGAAACGTCTGCAGGAAAAAGGATCAGAGGAGAAATTCAGAAGTAATTGAGCAAAGGTCGTGCTACGAATGATGAACCAGCTGTAAGCAGAAAAAGCCATGAAATAGGACCAGTCATAAGTTTTTCGTAGAATTCCATAGCTCTAACGAATCGTTACTGCAACTTTGAATGTCCTCTTATGTAAAACTCACTCAAGTAGAAAACTGCCATTGAAAAGCAGACAATAAAATTGCTGATGGATGAATTACATCGGAAATAAACGAGCGATGAAGGTAGGTAGGTAACTCAAAAGTAACACCGACCTTAGTAAGTTTGACGGTGCACATCACACTGAGATTCTCTTCCCGTATGTTTATCTGTCAGTCTGTCTGTCTGTCTGGCTTTCCCTTGGACGTAAAAAAACCCATTCCATGCAATGTGCAATACAATGCGAGACGAAGAACGCCCATCTCCCTATATAAGGGCGACCAGTGTAACTGGCACCCTTGCCCTCCACCCCGGCACTATGCCGCTGCCCGGGGCTTTAAGCCGGATATATCTCCTCTGTTTACTGTTTTTGATGGCTGCTGCTCAACTGCGACATTACAACAATAATTTAAAAGGCCATTCAGCATCAGTCAAATCAATATGGATACCAAAAAGCAACGATACTGAGGGGGTGAGTTTTTTTGTGATTCATCATCTGTCTGGGTTACTTTCAAGAGAAATAGGAGACCCAGTTGGTAAAAGTTACTTGTCATTTTGAATTGCTAAAGATGTCAGATTCATGTCATGAGAGCAGCAGGGAATGGTTTCGATTAATGAAGTCTCTATGTCTTTTTTTAATTTTCAGAATTTTTGTTAATATTTTCTGATAATATTTGGTAATGTTCGAGATGATTCTGATGGGTTGTCGAACAGTCACGGAATTTTTGCCCTTTTTTGACTCACCTTTGGCTTTTAGATGTACATCCATCAATGCTTCTTCATTAACTAATTATTACTTGAGAAGGAACTAAGCGAAAATCGTCGATTTTGCAGAAAAATAACACAAACCCGGTAGATCTACTTGAATTGGCTTTCTATTAAGGATGTTCATCGATAGTTTGTGCTTGTTTTGCGTAGCCGGATAGCTTTGCCTTTGAAATCGTTTACGTTATTATTTTTATAACAGAAGGTTCCAAATCAGTTTTCAAGAAAATCTCAGGATGTGTCATTGATTTGGATCAGTTGTCTCCGTTAGAACGATTTTGTCACATAGCGCAAAAGTGTTGAGATAGTTTTTGAGTGTTTGGGTTTGCTTAGATTACGATCATCGTCAGATCTGGTTTCCCTTCTCAACGTAGAAATATGATTGCAAAGCTGTGGTTATGGAAAACTTATTACTTTTCATCTGGAAGAGATACCCATAAATTCTCACACTGTAAAGCAGTTCCGGTTGCCATAGATGAAACAGTAGCCTACAGCTTTCCAGCCAGGATGCTGGCCGACTACTTAACATGATGTTCAGACCCTCAGTGAAAACTTCCCACCCTTCCCCCTTTCCATTTCACACCTCATTCGGGCAAAATGGAAACGATCAGAGTATCAAATTAGAAGGTTTTTCACGGTTTCAACCCTTCCATCGAATACCTTCTTACTGTAGACAGAGGACCCTGCTATTAAGCAGAATAAATGCTAGGGAGAAGAAGAGGACGTTTTTTTCTGTAGTGGCCATAGCAAGATTTTGGACGGATATGCGAAAAAGTAATGGCGACTGAATCCTGCCAGTCTCCCTTACTCCTTAACAAAACTGTTGGAAACCTTACCAACACGAAAAGCGCCTTTTACACAAGGACTGAAAAGTATAGCAATGTCCTAAATTGCAATCGTCCTCCTTGCCCGGCCATTTTCATGAAATTATAAGGACTGAGTGTGAAAGAGTTGTTATGGGACATCTTCACTTCAATTCCATGTATGTTATTTGGCCCATCAGCCGACCATTAGTGGCGTAGCTCCCTTCAGAACCATAGCGTCAAAACTTGAAGGCAATAGAGCGAGTGAGAACTTAGCAACAATAAAACGGACCCTCTATGGACTTTTGAGTTAGCAGAGAACTTTTGTTTCCGGAGTTTTTGTATTACAAGAGGGATTAGTTTCCTCACTTCTAGAGAGCCCTACGTCTTCTAAGTTCTATTCCAAAATGTTCCAAGCATGGCTTAACAATGCACTGTCTGGGTATATCCTGGGTATATCCAAATACCCTTCGGCTCCTCTTCCCCCTGAACTCAACCGGTCCGGCTTTTCCAAAATGCAACAATTGCAGCACCTAATTCTCCGTTCTTCGTCGAACTTCGAACCGTTTTAGTAGGAATATTTGTTGCCATGAAGTCCTACGCTCACCTTGGACAGTCCTTTATCTTCTTTTTCATTTCTAATCTAGCAAGGTCCCTATGACTTGCCGTAAAAGGCAAGGTAAAAAGGAATTTTTGAATACATTCAAAGTTAACAACGGACAGCTGTGGCATGCAATAAGAATACTTGTATTTACGATAAATACCTAACCCGAACAAGGCGTTGGGAAAGTACACGACCAGGAATCAAACCTTTTCAAAATTCCATAGTTTACCATTGAAATTCGTTTTCTCAAGACTTTCGTGGTATTTGTTTTTCCCTAACGAAATGTTTTTTGAAGTTGCAAATCCGGGTTGCTCACCATCGCTCCAACACGATCCCTCAAACCACAGTGTCAATGGAGGAAACCCTGACAAATAGAATTTCGCAGGTGAGCGCCAAAAGTTCAGACTGATTAGAAGAAAAACAGATTCATCTTTTTAAGGGTCAGAGTCGAAAAAGGGAATCAACTGTTCATGTGGTACCGACCGTGGAACGATTGAAGCGACCTGCTCTGAAACGACCAGAAAGATCCCTAATGCCTTTACCTCCTCCTCCACCAGGAATGCAGTCTCTCAGTCCAGCTGTAAAGGAGGCTGGTTGGTTTTTTACTCAAATCGTCATAAAAAGTCATAGTGTGACAGTTTTGAAGCAAAAAAAAAGCAGAAAAAAGGAAATTTTTCCCGTTCGCGTCGAGAATGTGTAAAGCATCCTGTCATGAAGACAAAAGGATTTTTTTTTGAGTTTTCTCCAGGCAGAGGGTCATACATGAACAGAAAAAGTAAAACAATTCCACGGAGCGACGTTATGATAACTTCTGGAGGTTCATGCTCAAGATCGAACATGCAGCCCTTCTCCCAGCCAGCTTTTCCCCTAAAAAGACTGCAGTTTATTTTATAAGGCAAAAAATCCTGGCAAAAAAGTTATAACTAGGGTCAGGAAATTATAAGTTAACAACTTGGGCGAGGTGGTGTAAGAGCACACAGCGCTTTATCACACACGTACGGTCCGGGGTTTGAATCCCAGACGGGAACGTACTCCAGAAAATAGACTGATTTACGTTATAGACTTTGTCATTCCAATAATTCTGAAATAGGGTGGATATTCCTTCCACGAGGAACCAAACTTGACCCTCTTACAATCCCTATCGGGTAGGCTTTAAGTAAGATACGCTTCAAAGAAATCCAGAACTGCTGTCTTTACATTCACTTTCTGCTGCTTTTTTGTCTTCTGTTTGTTTATCTCGAAGTTTTCTGAATTGACCAGAGGGTTTTGTCCCCTCAATTTCTCCTGAACGCAACTGCTCTTGTTTCAGATTCACTGGAAGTAGAGAATTTCTGGAAGAATTTCCCGACGCTAGAAAAACATGTGCAATTTGCCGAGATGTCTATTGATGATGAGTGAGTCCCGTGTTCTGAACATTTACAATGTTTAAAACGATACGAGACACCTGGTAACTAAACTATATGTAATAGTAAAGTTTATCAACACACTACTGGTTTTCAAAAAATTTAGTACTGCTACAACTAACAATACGCATGAATAACACTTGCCCACTTCTGGGTAAGAAGCTTTTGTAATCATTTCCAGTGGATTACAAACAGAAAATCGGTAACTGTTCACGGTTTTCAATGCCTTTTTGAAGTTCTCGAACAACAAATTCGTATTTTTCTCCCTTCCGCAATCAGATTTGAGTTATCTCAATTGCAAATCGCTATTTCGCACCCTTTCTTTGACGGGCGGACTTCAATGAAAGCGTGGATCCGGGCAATGCAACCCAAATGTTTTTTTTTCGATTCAGAAAAAANNAAAAAACGACGGGTTCCAATCTAAAAAATTTGTCCGTTAATTAGCAAATTGAAATTTATTGCGAATTTCGTTATGAAGGGAAAACTAAATTTTAGTACTCTTTCGATGATCCTTTGTTCTCCTCTGAGTTGAAACGGTATTAGTTTTTGAAAATCGAAAATAAAACTGTTAGACCTTCTTCGCTCACAGAATCAACTTTCGTTTGATTGGCAAAGGTGTGCTTTTCAATCAGAATCTGGAAAAGGGATTTATAAGAAGAAATGATCATGTCGGCAACGATCACGCTACGAGTTTTTCAGCGATAGCTGCGATTGCGCGGAAGTCAACAGAAGAAGAAGAAATTATGAACTATAACATCATCGGGCCATTTGCTCATGGATAGTACGCATACATTTTATTTGGCTAATTCGGATAAGTCACAACGGCATTTGCTGGAAAGAGTAATTTGAGAGTGGTGACAACTACGATCGAACTTGCCAAACTTTATTGACTATAGTAGAATAAACTAAAATCAATAAATTATTAGGATGATTTATGAGGTATCTTAGCAATGCCTATGAATATTTCTATGAAAACATGAAGCTTTGTGAGCTGAATTGTAACGGAGCCACAATGACTATTCTTAGCAGCAACAAATCTCGATTATACTCTGACTTGTTGTGTCTGTGCTCTGAACTTGAGTGCTTCGAGAAGTTCGTGCTACTTGAGCTTTGATCAGAGTGAATGAACGGTCAGACTTCACGAGACACGACAAAATAACAGAGAACAGTGTTGTTTCTTAGTGGAAAAAGGCTGCTGAAGCAACCAACTTGAAAACAGATAATTTTTGGCCGAGTATGAACCATGCATGGCACCCTCACGCTTTCAGTGTCACTCTCTTTGGTAACTCTGAGAAGAATCTCAAAGGAGAAACTTCGCAGATCGGGTTGAGAGTCAACAAAAGCCGGTTCGTTGAGGTCCGGAGACGTAAGTGTGGATCATTCGTGTGCCATCTCTGTGCTTCTCGTGGCTCGTCACAGAATCTTCAATTGGTTGCTCGAGCAACAGCTGAAGTAGCTGGCGCAGGCTCAAACGGAGCGATCCTCAGCATTCCGTCAGCGATAGACCATTTCATAAATAAACTGCTACCCAACACAGTTCGAGAGAAGGTGACCGTTCGGAACCTTCCATCAGTTTACTACGCTCGAGAGTATTTGGAACAAGTAGTCAGCGAAGCTCAGGTCAGAATGGAACATGTCTCACAGAAGTCCGGGCACTTATCAACTCTGCTCAGGCAAAGACACTTGGCAGATGTCTGCTAAGACAGTTTGAGAATCTCTATTGTCAAATCTATCTAACTGTCAATCGTTTTACTCGAAATGCATAGTTCTGTCGTCTACTTCAGTGCTCAGTGCTATCTTGAGCGACCATTTTGCGGTAGATCCAAGACGGTCACACCGTCTGTCGAAAAACATTTCCGTTCGTTTTCTGAATCGCAGAATGTCTAGACCCTTCCCGTCTCGGCAAACCCCATTAAATTACCGTTGATTTCGTTATTTGTTGAAGACTTCGACGGCGGTCGAATCACTTGTTGGTCACGGTAATGAATGATGACTTTTACTAGTAACTTTTTGCGGTTTTCGCCGAGTAGAATGCTGCTGGAGACTAATTCGCATCGAAAAACGGAACCACGATGCTGGTGCACCAATTGTCTTACTGATATGAAGGCAGGCGGAAATGTCTTATTATGGCATTCAAGAACTCGTTGGGTGTTGTTAAGATGCTATCGCACGAATGTAGCATTTGCCAAAATCTTGCAACTGTTTCGGCACTTCGCTGCAGAACGTAGAATCAGACGGAGGAATGTTCACGAAGTGTGAATACCAGAGAAGTCCTTGATCGTCCAATGCGTCGACCGCTGAATATCCAGCAAAAACTACCGCAACGACACTGGCTGATGAGCGCTGTTCCGGATGTGGAAAATTAGGCTAGAGCAACGCAATGCGCTCGTCGAGCTCGCCATGTTGAATTCATTTAATGGTTGGGGCGCCCAATGTACGTGCCAGATTTGAATAGTCGCGGCTCACTTAGTGATCATAAGCAGGAGTTTGATGCCGCGAGACCACTACGAAAATTTGAATGATGCATGCATGGTAAAGGACTTCACTGTGTTTTCTCTCTAACGGTCTCTCCATGTGAACGATTGATGGAATCTTTTCTACGAAACCATATTTCAGTGCTACCAACAAAAATGATACTTTCGAGCAGTTTCACATTGTTCCAGAAAAACCACCGCTCGATAAACTGCATGTGGTACGTTCAATTTCTTTGATAATAATTTCTATCACTAATATTCGAGGTGAAGACTAAGAGGGAGGTTTCGATTGGTTCGCCCACGCCATGATGTTTATTACTCTCGGTTGCTTCGTAAGTATGAAAGATCACGATTTTAGAACATGCTGCAGAGGAAGTAGTGGAGCTTTCATGCAGTGTGGTTTGTCCCATCCTGTTCAGAGAATCGCTGAAAAAAGAACAACTTCAATCTTGATTTTTCCCAGAGTGCCTTACCTAGTACCCTATTTACCCTTCAAAGATGTTAACATAAAAGTAATGATGATAATCGGAAATGTCAGAGCAAAGTAACAAAAAAGCCATGACTACAGATCAGATTTCAATGAGAACATGAGTCATAAAACTAGCAAACTCAGGGTGATGTCAATGGCCCACGAAGCGAGCCTGACGAAAAGGAAGATACCGATAAGGTAGGGAAAAAGACTAGTAATCCATAAGCATAAATCACACATTCATTTGGAAGCTTATGGTTCATCCAAAATGATTTTCTAAGAGCAAATACTATACGTTATACCTTCTTTTTTGATCTGCTCGTTGCTTTCTTGTCTCGAATTACTCGTTCTGCACATTAAATGTCCCCTGAATGTTTTGGAGAGGTGAGCAATCATTTCACTTCTGGCTACATACTTATTTCAGCAACTGATAGTTGCGCCTCTTTTCCTTTCCGAGCGAAATGGTCAGCGTCAAGAGAGAAGTTAGACGCGTAGACGACAAACTGATCCCTGCTCATCACTATAATGCGATTTGACGTTCTCTACATAAGCCAGCGAAGAATTTTGATCTTTACTTTATTTTAGGAGAGTGCATTCAAAGCAACCGTAGCTGACATGTTGCCAGTGGAACAGGAGTCACCTGAAGTTGAGCTGCTACGCAAACAGTTTGAGAGCAGGAAGCGTAAACAGAAACATGGTGCTAAAATGGTACAAATTAATACAATGATAGGCGTGAGCATTTTCATGCAGTTTTTTGAACACTGGTGGTTGAAATGAGAGAATCGCGCTCCATTGCATACATCTGGCTGTAATTCGCTGCCTGCGTGCAAGGTGTAGGTCCCTGTGCGATGGTACAACCTCTACAGCTTTTGCGACGCTTAACAACTCGTCCGCCTTACGTATGTACGTCGGCTAAACCCCTTTTGTGAGGCCTTATTACGTCCTGTCCTGTCCTCGACCCGATAGCACCTCTTGGCCTATCCTTGCAGGTTAGAGATTCGTCCTAGGGAGAAATCTCAGGAATCGTTTGAACCTCCACTGTACCTTTGAATCACGCGAATCAGATTCTTTTTTAGTGATAACAATGGAATAAATGAGTTAATACATGAAGAAAGGGTGAGATAAATCACTACGTGCATAACAACAATATTTCTAGAAACCTACTGACTGAGTACGGTCCCTGAATCAAGGTAACCCGGTGAAGGGAGTTTACAAACTTTAGTGGGACTTGGAGCGTCCATGCTTCATGATAACAGCGCAGACCTCAATCAATACAGTACAGTTCACATGCGTAGAAACGATGTCACATGAAAGGACAATAGACTAGAAATAGATAAGATGGAATAGAATAGGAAGCCTAGGAGTACGGCAAAGAGAACGTCGAGGCATGAAAAAGACGGCGATGGGGTGGGGCAGGGTTGGTATGTCGATAGTGGAGTCAGAGTTTTCGCGCGCGAACGTCTCGCCACGTGGCATAGTATCTCTGAATTGCAGGGGTACGATTCCTTCTGAGCGGGACCACAATGCGCGCCCGACTATAAAGTCGAACCATTTGGCCAAAAACTCAAGCAGCTGTGCAACCACTAGAGTGTCTTAACTCTAGTAGTAGCACCCCGTAAAGTGGTTTTGGTCAGTTGCTTGGGTTTTTCGAAAACTCTATAATGAGACATTTCAACAAAATGCCAAAATTATGGTGGTGTGCGGCTAATATGTATTAATTCACTTGAGGTTTATTCATTTTCAGAAAAAGTACAATTCGTCGGGTAGGAGTAGGTTACTTTTCACGACCACTACGACGATTCCACCGACAACAGCAATCAACAGCACCATCGAAGATGGTTTTTCAACTACTACCTCTGTCACAACCACTCAGCTGTCTACGGATGTGACTGCGGCTTCCGTGGAATCTTCTACAACGAAATGGCACTTTGCATCTCCAACTTCAGTCACTTCTCCTGCACCAAAAATTTTGCCTACTGAAATTCATACGTCTACTGAGGGAAGTTCTATCACGTTATCACGGTCCGTGCCTTTTTCTCCGCCACCACGACTGCCCGTATTTCCAGCAGGAAATACTACTCCCACGAGAACATTGCAGTTGTTTCGAGACCCAGTGGTGGACAAAAATAGTTTACGGACACCGGCTCCCCTCATTAAGGTAAGGAAAATCTCATATACGCCTTGATAAATACATAACAAATTCCTAAATAGTGTGACAGGGGATAAAGCGTGATGCAAATCTAAAAAGTCGCAATTTCCGCATTTTTTCTTTAAATTGCTTCAAACATCATCCTTTTTCAGTCGAAAAGGCAACAGTGGACGGGACGAAGTCGATTCCGCTCAGCGGCTGTTGTCCCTTCAACGAAAACTAGAACTCTTTCTGACTCGACCAATCGACAATCGCAACCCATCATATCGCCGAGGTTTAGGAGTTTTACAAGATCAAGTATGATTCATTTGAGCAGACATTACACATCCTTATACTTTTCAATCTTTTACGGTATTTTCTGGAATCAATACCTAAACTGCATGTATGAAGACCGCAACCGTCTTTTGTGTTTCTAGGAAAGGTTCTGCCTATTCCGACTGTCCCTACAAATTCCGATTTTTAAGATAGTTTGAACGAGCCTGGTTTTCCAAGGGTGATGACGACTATCAACAACGGAAATAACCCGAAATTCGTTCGAGGCGGACCACCGTTTTTATTACCTACCAAGGTGACGTTTTCCTCAACCTTTAATTTTTTAAATGGTACGTTTATTCATGTAGTTGAGAAGGGGAAGAGGGGGGGGAGGTTGAGTGGGGATATGCGTAGTATGTGGTATGTAGCCTGATCATATGTCTACACAAATTATATATGACATTCGCTTGACTAAAAGGGACGTGTAATCTACAAGGGACAACATATGTAGTTCTAGGGCCCCAGCAAGAGCTGCATATTCTGCAGCCAGTCTACTGCTAACAGTCAAAAGGTCAGAATTGGACCTATTTTTACCAATTCTCGGTACTTTCTTAGATACTCTCGTCAGCGACTGGCAAATTACGGCCTCTCACCACCTTCCACTTTAACAAATACCCATTTTTTTGCTCGTTATTTCGAACTCCCCCATTCTTTTCGCTTTTCTGACCCCTCCCACTTCTCATCGTTCACCTCCAGATTGGTAAAGTTGTTTGTTACTGGAAAACTACCTGACAAAGCTTGAGCATATGATCAATTCATCATGTCTTGGTGTTGATTTAGGACTTCCTTACTAGGAGTGTGCGACCAGTGAAACGCTCCAAGAAGAGACCAAGGAATGTGGGATCCGTACAAAGGCGACGAATCAGAAGCCAAAGATTTATCGTTGCAAATTGATATTTCATTCAAGTCTCATTCAAATATATACGAGTACAATTTTCTTTCAAAAAAATTACTTTAATATCAGCAAGCTTTTAAGTTGTATTTATTTGTGTACAGGTTGATGTGGTTTGATTTTGTAAATAAACATTAGCGTATTGTGGTTATTTTTAAAGTATCACCTGTATCACCAGTATCCGACTTGTCCTCGCGCACTTCGCCGTTCACGCAAGCCGTGAGCCATCCATTCCGGACATGCACAAGTCGTCTCCATTGTTGGCCAAGCATATTCACCATAGGATCGGCTCACCTCAATTTAGGCCTTTCTGGTGCTCGCTTTTGATTCAGTGGGATCCAATTCGTTAGCCGGAAGGCCCATCGGTTATCTTTCAAACGTGCCACATTTTATTTTTGAAGTGGAGTTGTGAAGAACCGGTTCCGTAATCCGTAATGGCCGCTTAACGCCGATCAGCTAATCAGTTTATACCTCAAAGGGTTGCCAGATCAGTCAGTGAAGCACCTCATGAGAAAGGAAATGTTGGTAAATTTGAATCTTCCTTGGGGCCAGCGTAATCCCCCAGAGGTGTCCTTTAACTTTCTCTTTGACTTCAGGTTTTACGGAATCCTGAGGCTGCATTGCAGAGCTGGGTGAGGTTTTCCGCTTAGGGCAAGAATGTAGTCATACCTGTGCTATACTGGCATCGTGCTCATTCATATTCCCACCAAACTTCCAGTCTCCCTCTGTAACTTTGTTGATAGAATTATAGGGTAAGGCAAAGTTCAGGGTGTTTCCCATTTTACAGGATGCGCCCACACACTGAATCCCGTTCAATATTTGAATGGGTATTGAACCTCCCCAGTTAATAGCAAAGGATCTCCCTCATTTTTAAAGCAGAAATTTGCTGTGTCGGTTTGTCGGTTCGCCAGTGTGACGGTCTGTCCGTCCACAAGACTTATGATTATGATAGAGGTAGTGATATGGGAACCTAGCTCTATTCTACATTTCCTTCCTACATATGAGGCAGTAACTTGGTGGGTAGGTTGATGGAGTAGAGTGAGTACTGCGAAGTGAATGGAGTGATGTGGAGTGAAGTGGGTACCTCAAAGCTGTGTTTTCGATCTGTACCGGCATCGTGCTATGTATGACTTTACAAAAATCGGAGGTGATAGTGTAGTGTTCCCCATCCTAGCTTTTTGCACGAGATAGTCATCCACCCCCACCCAGCCGCTCCTCCACTACTGAGGCTTAGCTTGAGACCATATTCTTTCGCCTAAAACCGCTCCTAAGTACAGGTTAGGTCGGCGACCCCTCCTCTGCGCTCGAGCCTTCAGTTTTGGACAAAAGCAATGCCCCCTCCCCTAACTACACTTTCTGACTACTTGGTAAAAGTAAGAATGAGGCCCAGGGTAAGCCGGGCGACCCGACTGGTAATCTATAAACAGGCAAGTATTTTCATACTATACTAGTGCTGCTTGAGCTGGCTTGGTTTAAAGAAGTTAGGAACCGATCAGGTGGGAAGGTGCAACTTCGAAATTCGTTTTCTAACCATGTAGGTAGGGATGTCACCTGGCACTCTCCTATATTGGCTGCCTAGAAAGCCGAATTATGATGGAGATTATAATATTAACATCTAAAAAGTTACAGTACATCAACCGCGGACCGCAAAAGCCTCCTGCTAGTCGTTTAGCTGACTAGAGCTCCCCAGGCTATAAAACGAGAGATATAACAGCTTCCTTTCAGGTTTTTCCGAATATACGGGCTAATAAAACACCTTGTGGCTCACGAATACTCGCATTTGCACCTTTCTAATAGGCCACAGAGGCCATTGCCCTACAGACGTCCACATAACCAACTTCTTTGATGATGTGGGGCCAGTCATTGATAGTGGACTTATTTCTTTCAAATCTGTCGATTGAGTGGAGCTCACGAGAGCCGCTATTAGCCAGCTTGTTCTCCTATCGACGTCTTCAACCTCAATTATTAAGTCATCAACGTAATTCGTTCCAAATACGATTGTCGCGCCCCATCGTCATCGACCGCGACGCAGCCGCAAGATCTATTTGCGAAATAGTATTTTTACGAATTTCTTTCTTATATTACTCGGGGCAACTAACTTTTATAAATCTTCAATTATTTGTTGGTGATGTATTTATGCCCTAATATGTCTACTATTTCAGCTTTGGGTCTGTCGATGTACAAGCTCCGGAATCGAGATTTATTGGATAGATTTCTCAATAAGACGTTCCTCAACCAACAGCCGCCCTCGGATGTTCTTGCGGTCAGTCAATCGCAAGATGGAAGTTGGTTGTGTTTTTGGTAACAGTGAAACCTGTTTGTAACACTGGGTACTATTCCACTATTACAACCCCAAAAACTCAAAATTTTAATTTTCGATGAAACTTCGCCTATAGGGGTAATCCGATGCCCTGATAAAGAATATGGCCTTCATTTTTGGCGCTGGCGCCATTTGGCGCCAAGGGTGTTTTCACCAAATT